ATGTTTGCGAATTAATCAGCTACTAGCGGCGCCTTTACATTTTTAAGTATTCAGTTAATACTAGGTCGTCACAATGCGCAGGGTTGGCATAGCAGAAATTTTCGCAAAACACGCTCCTTTCGGAAATGATGTTAAAACGCATCTGCGATACAGGCCTTTGATACAGGTTAAACTTTTAACTCCATCAAAACAAGAGAGGTAACATGATCTAATTTCCCAATTTCGGGTTCCTAAAACTGAAAAAAATACTTGACTTTCGTTTCTATCCACGTGACTTATCGGCAACCATGAGTAACCATTTACTGTTTCTTGTTTGCCATTACGTTGCCATGGTGCCGTTTTTAATTTCGAAAGAAATCAACCAGACAACTGATAACTTTTTGTTCACCTCGAAAATCTGCTTGTTTACATGTATATTTTTGAGGAGATTGTTACGGTAACTATTTCTATTTGCAGTCTGATCTATCGTTATGATGACACAATCGCGATATCGCGAGGGTTCACGAGGTATACCGGACAAAGTTTCGGCAACCGACTAGAAATTTGTCCTGTACCGTAAAAGCGTAAATTCGCCGCTCGTTGTCCGGTATAACGACAGAGAGTTAAAACCTTATCATTAAATAAAAATGGCTGTGTGGGCCGAAAAATGTGTCCACAAGTCAGTATAGTGACTAGTAGCATCCTTAGTAAGCTATAATAGTATGCCAGCATAGTCCCTAGGCGTTCTCGGCTCGGTCAATCCTGGACTCTACCGTGAACTGTGACGTCACCGAGAGATACACGCCGAGATTCGCCGAGAAGGCTTTCTCTCGCCCGCTCTTTCCCAGACTTCGCGCGGACAACGGGGCAAGAGAGAACGCCTAGGAACTAGGCTGATAGTATGCTATAATATAATAGTAATAGTAATAATTCAACCAAACGTCTGGAATATTTTCAGGTGTCCGTCCACAACCGTAGAAATCTGACAAGCGTTGAGAAAAAAGTAAGCCGCTGGCCGTTTTTTATACTAAGGACGCATTATCCGTCTGGACGAACATGGGCTAACCTCTGTAGTTTGTCTGGTAGTGTCTCTAGTATAAAGACGGGCACAAGACGCATTATGCGTCCACACGAACTACCTTTCGTTGTGCGTCGTTCAAGACGTGTTTCGAAGGAAAGTTCGTCCATACTTTAAACGGTCTGGTTGACTATAAAATGCCGGCAATTTAGAGGTTTCATAAATAGGCAACTGTCGAAACAAGCTACTGTGGGTGAAGTACCCAAAGGATGGGGATTTTCCCAACGTATTTGAAAATAACATAAGAATGTTTAAGGAATTATGAAGAAGGAAAAATTAAGTTTAATTGTTTTTGCCACTTCTAGTTCCACGCGGAAAAACGATCCAAACGCGGCGGAAATAACCCGAAAGCTTTTGATTGTTTTTAAGAGAAGAAAAATACTTGAACATCTGTTATTAAGCACAATGTCTTACAGCATTCAATACTGTTTACCTGCGTTGATTTTCAAGAATTAAGTTGGAAGAAATACTCACTTTCTCCGTCAACAGAGGTATGTTCCCGGCAAAGTTTAAAAGTTCTTGGAAATTTTGAGAGATGATTTCAACAGCGATGTGCGTCATATGACTTACTCATATACTTCATTACTCACAAATAATTTGTTAACTGTGTTTATTTGCTCACAGGCATCTATCTCTTTTTGTTACCGTTCTTTTGAAAGAACGTATAAAGCTTATATTGATGTAATTTTTTTTAACGTTTTCTCTCCTCAAGATTTAAAGGGGCCACAGATATGGTCAATTTAGTTTACGCAGTATCCTTTTATGTGCTTGTGCAACGGTTCTTGCAATTTTTTTTCTAAAGCAAGTTAGAAAAACGCAAATATACAAAAAAATAATACACAACAACTTGATGTAAGCAATTTCTCCATATAAGAAAGTTTCGTTTCTTGATTTCAGTAGAGGTGTTTTATACGGTATGAGTGTCTAGCCAAAATAGCTGTCAGAAATCGTCACAGGACAACAAAGTTCAGTGCAGTTTATCCAAAAAGCTTTTAGGAACAGGCTACACAAATGATAAAATACCATCGCCCGAATGTGAGGCGATTCTAAAGTAAGAGACAAATTTAAAGTATTGCGCCATGAGAATATTTTCATGATTCCATTTGTCCTCACTTTGGTAAGAGTGCTTTATTTCCACCGGTGATATAAAGAGCTAACGGAGTAAATTTTCGGAAGGCGCACATACGCGATTCAAATTCTGTGTGATTATGGTAAATACTACATCTTTATGTTTCCCTAAAATCAGAATCAATTTTACGATAAAACGCTTATTTTAACTCGTCAACTTAATATATAGTACTTGAGCATGTTTCAGGCTTCAATAACTGGAGAATGGAAATTTGGCTTGGATATCGATCTTATCATTTTACTCTAACGATCCAATCTACGCGGCACCTTACGCTAATTCAGAAACACTTATGGATGTGTTTTTTAGCCCTCAATTGGGGTGTTTATGTAAAATTTTCCCATAATTTTGATACAAACAATACGTTATTGTCGTTAAGTGTAAGAGGAAAACTTTTCACATCCACTTTGAATTAACCCTTTAACTATTCAAGTCACCGGAATCTAACGAGACTAGGATATTAAAGCGATAGCTAAGTAAATGCTTCAGTTTTCGGTGAAAAAAAAAAAAGCTTTTCTGTGTCATCAGGCACTCTGTAGTTTTCGTTAACTAACATGAGAGGACTTTTTAAAAACTTAATGGTTGTTTTTATTTCTACGCGAAGAAGTAGTTGGCTGCTTTGCTTTCAAAATAGCAAAGTTACCTTCTTAACTTCTTTTCATATTTTTCATCAGAATACCAGAGTCGACGCGTATTAAACGGCTAACAACGCTACTTCGAGTTGAGGCATTCAAGGCCAAAGTCTTTTTTATCATTCTTAACGTAGAACCTTGCTTACGAAAATAACCATATTTCGAGCGTTTTTTAGCACTTTAAGCTTTCGGTTTTTTCAGTGCAATGTTTTTTATCCGCGTTAGGGGCGTTTCCTTGAGAACGGATCCAGATGATATAGTTTTCGGTGCGAGCAGATATTTTTCACTTTCATATGAGCGCTCCAGCAACAAGCAAAAGCTAATTACATATTTTCCAAACGACCAAACCTTTAGTTAATTAAACTTGAAGGTCCCCAGTGTTTCACGTAATTGAAGCAAAGATCTGAGAAAATTTTTTAACTATTGTAAAAGCACTTTTACGGTCTTAGTTCCTATTAGGGCCATTCCAGGTTAAAAAAAGATCATAATATTTTGAAAATGATAAGCTGTGACTGACCAATTTTTATGAAGTTTCGCGGTAAGAAAATTTTCAAATTTTTAACAGCCCACAACTAAAACCATTCGACCGTTTATTACCGCTAACGCTGGCTGTCCTCGATTAAGCGGAGAAAAAGAACGAGTCCATTCAATTGAATTAATAAATGTTTTTCCATTTTCGAGCTATATCCCCAGATTAAACGTTTTTCCTCAGCTTGCAGATTTGTAAACCACGCACACACACACGCACTGAATTCTTTATGCACTGTAACTATGAGTTGAAGCTTTTGAAGCGTCAGTTTTTTTTTCACCCTATCGAAACAATGCTAAAACAACAACAACAGCACGAGCACGAGTGTTTTATCGCGTTTTTAAAAAACTTGATTTAAAAGGAACTGAGTGTTTCTTGAAGAACTGAAATTTTTCTGAAGACAAATTTCAATTTTCTAATAATTCGCGTTTTTATCATTTTAAATTACTTCTCCTTTAAGAAAATCTAAGCAAACAACTCAGTCTTATCCAAATAATTTAGAAAGACATTCATTAAGCATCGATTTCGTTTGCTCTTTCTTATCCATGATTAATCACGCCTTCTAGTAACCTTAGCAACGCGTTCGAAAACAGGCTTTGACGGGAATACTACGGTCTTGCACGTAAAGTTACCTTATGATATTTCTGCGTTATAACGTTGACTGTTACAAATTTTATTAAGCAGTAAGGAGTCATGTCTTGGCGAGATAAGAGAAAGACCGGGATTTCATTGATGTTGGTTGGTGTAGCTTTCGTGGGTCTTGCACTCCTTTTCAGCCTGGTCCTTCCACGTGCATTGCAAAAACGAATAGCTGACGAAATGTGTGTCAGTAGTAAGGAGGATGCTTATTATGTCCAATGGGTACGTTATTTTATGATTAGTCGGTCACGAGAAAGGAACTGGAACCGAAATCCGTCCCCGCAGTTGTTTCCAGGATTGGCAATGGGGACGCGCTGATCAGCTATTGGCTAATTTTTTTCCCTGTCCCAGATAACAGTCCCAGAAGACTTTGCGAAAGTTAACTCGGCCCAGTTTCCTTCTCGTTTGTAAAGTTGTGAGTAAAGACTGAACGAGAGTCTGTAGCTGTCATGCCGGCCACTAATTGTTTAATTTAAAGATTAAACATTATACACTGTGATATAAGCTCCTGAGAGTAGTAGATCTAGGTGAAAGGCCAGGAGGAAGGGAGGGAGGGGGGGGGGGGAAAGCGGAGCCGCCATCTGTTATGTTTAGTCCAACACCGACGATCATGTACCCTGCGAGCAGAGGCCCTTCGGCCCGTCAGCCTGTCGGCCTCTGCTCGCAGGGTAACGAGACATCTAACGATCCCAATGCCCCCAATGCCCCGCCCCTCCCCCATATACACAGTATCATAACAAACTTCATTTCCCCGCGTTTTCCCTCACTTGATAGTACTTAACGTACATGTATTTACTGGGAGATCCCAGTTTATCATTACATTGAAGCTCGTACTGCGAGTGGCTCAAGAAGTAATTAAGTGTAAGTTTAACGACAGTGCTACGAGCACTCAACGTCGGTTCGAAGGTCTTTCCTCTTCTTTCCCCCTCCGTTTGACTCCATTGGGGAAGGAAAAGGAGACATCTTGGAAACCAGTCTACACGAATTGCATCTAGGTTTCTTTGTTTGCTTATACAGATCAATATTACGGAGAGTTTAACAAAGATTTATTACTGGCATATCGTAAACAAGGAAGGATTCCTTTACAATGGAGAAACACCCAGGGTAACATATCAAATTAACCTTAAGCGGCCTTGAAACTTAACTGGTAAATGTACTTTGTTCTATGGCTGGCTCGGTAGCTTTAAATTAAATATAAATTCAGACAGCGAAAAATCATCACACATTGCTTATAAAGATATCACGCGTGATTGGATGGTAAATTTTTGGAGGGCTTAATGCACAATTTTGAAATATAATCAGTCATCAAGGTAAGAAATAAATACTATAACATGGAGTAGTCATAAGATGGGAACAGTCGTTAACACCAACGTATGCAAGGCACTCACAGACGTAAACCTCAGAGCGATCTTGTACAGTATATCAAGTACTACCACAAGAAAGTAAGTTGAGTGCTGATTAATTAAAATATGAGGGCTATCGTGTAAAATACCAAGTGGTACCAAAACACGTTCAATACGTTTTTTTTTTATTTTCTTAAACCTAGGGCATAAGAAATAGTGTGATTATTGTTGCCTAACATTTAATATTTGTGAAATTACCTGATTACAGCTCGTCGAAAGAGGTCCCTATGTTTACACAACACTTTCAAGGAAGATTGATGTTACCTTCGATCCGTCCGGAGAGGTGACCTATAAAACTTTCCACCAACAGAAATTCAACAAAAAGATGACAGCAAAGCTATGCGCAACGTGTCAAGAAAACGACAAGGTAAGAAATAAAATGTAGTAAAATTCTTAGGTTTATAGTTACAAAACGCACTTTGGTGGTGAAATTTACTGGTCTGAGGAGCACATGCACACGAGGTATTGTTTGTAAAAAGAACACTGAGTAAAAAAAATCGACAAAAATGTTTCATCGATTCTTATATACCGTGGAAATGATGTCAACATTTTAAACACATTGCAATGAAACTGCTGATTAGATTTGACGTCATTTGACGTCGAAAGGGAAAGAGGCCAATGATCTCTGAAACCTTGAAGAGATATATTTATCAGCTATCAATGAGGATCAAATTGATAAATCGAAATGGATGGGTAGGAAAGTACTACTGGAAATGAATAAAGGGATGAGATTTATTGAAGACCTATGTTGTCTGATGGATGGATGGATAGATGGAAGGACTCTTTGTGAATGAACAGGTAAAATGGATGGATGGGTGGATTGAAAGTTGTGGATAACTTTATGAACAAATGCCTTACCATTAACATTTTTCTTCTGTTTTTCGTTAGGTGAGCATCGTTAACTTGGCCTACCTGGGTCTGATCAACCAAGTTAAAACAGCAGACTCCTTTAGTCTAGTTTTTCTCCCAGTGGCAGTTGACAGTCTGTTGCGTGACATGGATTCGAAACTTGGACACCGAAACGCAACACTGAAACAACTTGGAAAAACCTCGAGTTTGCTGCAGCTAAACAACTCATATAATCCAGAATTTGGATCCTGGAAATATAATAAGCTCTCTGGGACTGAAATGCGTCCAATTAGACGAGAGTATAGCGTTACAGAAATGGGTGGACTTTATAATGCCCTTGTCAATGCGACTCTACTAGGGCTGCCTAAAGACACGACAGCCATGGCAGACTGCGAAGAGAAACCGCATCTACAAACCTGTGGCTTGTTCATATGGATGGCTAACTTTGTCCTTTCCTTTCACCCCAATGGTACCAGTCCCAAGTTTAACCACACAGAAGCCGAGCGACTGATAGAAGATACTTTTTGTTCCAATCCAAGCGCATGCTATCACGTGACTGGCCGGTCTGACATCGAATCATTATTTGACTTTATAAATGGCCCTCTAAGAAGCTACACGCTATGGTTCATGGACCATAACAACTACGGCCTCGTTACGACGAGAAGCCAACGAGAGCTTGCACTTGGCTACGTGATGGATAAGTTCCGTTATCCCCCGGCTTATCCTAATGGTCTCCATTCCCTTGCTGCACTTGTAAGTCACTCATCTTTCAGTGAGGCTGTTCAAAAAAGCGATTCCCACACCCTGCATTCATGTAAATCCTCTTCTGAAGAGCATCTGAAGTCGACCTGGGCAGGTAATGACCAAGGAAGGTTGGTTATTATAGCGTGTTTGGTGCACTAAAGGTGATAACTTTAGGTTAAGGCGCACATGAGCCAAAGGCCCAAACGGCCGGATCTTATCCCAGTTTCGTTACCATGAACCCTGTTTCGGAGTATTGCTAATCCCCCCTGGACGGGATGCTAGTCCATCGCGTGGTTACCCCAAAGCGGTATGTTGCCGGGTAGCCATTAATACACCTGGGTGAAGAGAGACAAAGTGGAGTAAAGTTCCTTGTCTAACGCAACGGGTGAGGCCTGAACCCCGGACATCCAGATCCGAAGTTCGAGGTGTTAACCACTAGGCCACACATGCCTTCAAAGGTCGAGATGGGGTATTTAGACCGGTTAGGGTTGTCAATTCTATTTGATATGAGTGGCGTATATCACACTATCAAAAACGGCGGCATCGCATTCCAATATGACCCCTTGGTATGGCTGAGTTTGTAAGGTATTTCACTATGGTGATACAGTGGGTAGTAGGACCGACGTACGCACATTCATCGTTTATTCACTTAACAACCGAAAATTCGAAGAAGCCGACACCAGATACTCTTGCTTATGGTGCTCTAAGCGTGCTTTTCTACTATATGAAATTTACACTATATAAATTATTATTATTATTTGTTATCGTTGTTATCGCGCTGATAATGTACTTGACTTTGCTATGCTACCATTTTTTTTTTTACAGCCTACAATGGTGAAACTCAAGTGAGGCAATCATTTTACCCAAGCGCCTCCGCGAACGAGCTGAAGGTACATGGTCACCAGGCCCTTTTCTTTCCCGCGAAGAAAGTTAGGTCATGTGAAGCCTACAGGCCAGCGGCAAAGAGTTACGAGATTTTCATGCCGCAGTTGAAGAGACGGGGAACACTTGTCCGTGAGAAACAGGTCAAGATAAAAGGGCTTAAGTTGGATAGGTGAGACACTAGCTAGTGTAATAACAGTAAGGCTTGGAATTCTTGATCATATTAGAATTTGTAAATAGTTGTTCTTGTAGAAGGAGCAAATACAACCAAGGAATCACTCTAAAAGATTTGGGCAGAAAATTCAACAAATTCAACTTAGATGCATATGAGGTTCGAGACCGAGAACCGAACTGGAGCTGTAAGTAAGTGGGAGACGAGGGCAGGTGTGTGAGCTCAATTGCATCTCAATTGCCAATCTTAAAAACATCTGTTCCTCCTATAAAAAAAAATAATAATAACATTTCTTTAAATCCTTTTTTTCAATATTGATGTAATCTTTACACAGGTTTCGACTTGAGGAAAGCCTGGTAACAGGAAATAACAGAACTGTTTTTACATCCGGGCTTCTCGATATGTCTGGTATTTACGGATTTCCAGTCCTTACTGGTTTTCCTCGATTCTTGCACGGCGCGCAGGACCTGGGAAAGAAGATAGGAATTCCAGTAGCCGATCCGAAGAAGCATGGATCATTTGTAAGAGAAAATAACACCTCTGGTCACCATAGCAATGATTCTCTTGGCCTTGGCCACAGATCCCACAGCTTAATTAGCATTGACATCAAAGAGATTACGAATCACGTTTACGGCAAACGGCAACTGTCAAATTCAAGCTGACGATTTCTCAACATAGAAAAACAACAGATGAAAACTGTGGACTCATTTTTATGGATAAAACTAGCGAGGAACTGCTAATATTTTGGTACACATAGTAAAGAGTAAAAGCCAAGTAAGCCGATTGCACGTTGGTCGCCAATATACCTTAGGCGTTACTAAAGCGGATATCTCTCCGTCTGCAACCGAAATGATCATTACTGTTAAAAAATGATTTTAGTAAGGTTTAATTCGGTCTGTAATCATATGAGTGATTAGTGAGCTTACGCAATTGGACGGCAGAAGGGAGAAGACGGCAAACGCAGTTTGACAAGCGTGGTAATTATCATGTTACGACTGAAGTCCCGCTTGACTTCACCTTCCTTTATTTAAAAAGATCTTTTTCCGCTCTGTCACGTTACGTTCATAGTTTTAAAATTCAGTTCTTAAATCCACACAACTTGAAGAGATATAACTAACCACCGAGTAGTGATAGACCAAGCACGAGAAAAAGACATTTTCTCTGATGTTCAAACACCGAGAAATTGCTACATATGCACAAGGGTGTTTAATATGATATCCAAACACGGAAAAAGTAATATATCAAACACGAGAAAGAGTGATTCATCTGATACCCAAACACCGAGAAGTAATATATCAAACACGAGAAAGAGTGATTCGTCTCATATCCAAACACCGAGAGGTAATATATCAAACACAAGAAAGAGTGTTTCATCTGATATCCAAACACTGAGAAGTAATATATCAAACACGAGAAAGAGTGTTTCATCTGACATCCAAACACCGAGAAGTAATATATCAAACACGAGAACGGAGTGATTCGTCTGATATCCAAACACCGGGAGTGACTGACAGACACAAGGAAGAGTTATTTCAGTAGATACAACAAACACGAGAAAAAAATTGATAACATAATTCTATTTTCAGAGTCAAAAGTTTTACCCACCGTTCGGATAATTATCAAATACCTGAAATTTGCGAAAACGTTTCAGATTACAGGAACATAACATAACATACAGCTTATAATTCAAATTATGAAACATAGTTAATATTCCCTTTGTTTGTTTTTTTTTGTGGTTTTTGCCTCTTGTCTTGGTCTTTGCTACCATTTTTTTTCTGTCATGTTTTCAGATCGATATTGAGCCATTCACAGGAACAGCCCTTCAAGCTGTCTTTCGGTTCCAGATCAGCGTGGTAGTCAATAGCGGCCTGGTATTGAGTCAATTTCAGTCCAGACCATATAACGTAAGCTACGTCGACGACAATGCACCTTTTTACGAAAACGTTATTCCATTGTTTTGGATCGAAACCTCCCAGGTCGTCAATGAGAAACAAGCAAGATTATTCAGATCTGAGGTATAAACAATAGAACTCATACAGGACTAAACTCATTTGATTTTGATTTTCCTAATTTCATTTTCAGGATTTCAGACTTCAATTGTGATTCTTATTTGCTTTTGCTTTGACGTTCAAAAAATTGTTTCAAAAGCATCAAACGTTTGCATGAAGTTCATCTTTTTGGGATTAGCTTCAGTTTCCCCTCAATTAAAAACAAAACAGAAGTATATTACTCCAACTTGATCCAACTTATATGTCCTGTTTATTCTCAAGCCTTATTCCTCGGTCAGTGGGATAGCTTATCCGGGGGGGGGGGTACTCAAAAAATGGTATTCAACGACCATTTTTCACGAAAAAGGTACCCCTTTCGTATACCTTCTATTGACAAATGGTACCCCTTTCACATATCTTGTTTAGAACTTTGCATCCCTTTTAACTGCTGTAAATGCACTATCTTTTAAACAGGAATCAACCACAAAAATAAAAAGTTATCTCGACTTTTTAAAGCCATAAAATTCATCTGTTCCGCCCTTTGGGCCCTTTCTCAGACCCAAATGACAGATTTCCTAGTCTTTTATATACCTCACCTAGTGAAATCCCTCCCCTTTCGTATACCTGACGCCTAAAAAAGATGCCCCTCTCGGGCGGAGCCTGCCCGTATAGGCCATCATAGGCATTATCCCCCCCCCGGGTAGCTGATATGAACTACCTACCAAAGATGTAAAGGAACCGGTCGAAAGATATGCCTCCCGTACACCACTTACCCTTTGAGAAATGAAGCCAAAAAGCACAAGTATGCTAAGGCTTTTTTTTACTTACTTTTCCTACCAGGTTTTTGATGCACTAAGCAAAATGTGCACAGTGATGGTATGCATGTCTATCGCTGCCGGCGTGTTCCTGTTTTCTGGTTTGCTTCTTGTGGTACTGTCTATCAGAGGTGAACCCAACACTGTCGAGGTGGAACTCAATCAAACTTAGTGTAACGCTGTTTGTAGAAAGTTTGGTCGGCGGGTGATCATCTTTACTCTAGGCATTGTAATAAAGTGCAATGGTTATGAAGCCCGACAGGTTTCTTTGTCATTTTTTGCTCTTGTTTTTGTTCGCTCTCTTTGAACTCAGTGACAGTGCACAGCGTTGAATAGCATCGATTCCTCGTCGTTTTCAACAAGAGAGCAGGTCAATCTTGTTAACAGAGCTGCAGAGGTCCCTTTTCCCCGCTATTGAGCAGGGGGGAGGAAAATGGGTCTCTTTTTCTCCCACCCGTTGAATACCAGGGAAAAGAGGTTTCTGCTGGCTGGGAGAACTGGCAATTGAAACGCCCCTTTGATTTATTCCTGTACAATGTGTGGATCAAAAACAAACAGAATTAGGGAACTCCTAACACAACTACAACACCATCGTTTTCATCTTAACTTTTTTGCAGCTTTCACTAACAGCCTATCATGGCAACTAATAATAATATAATAATAATTAAAACTTATATAGCGCAACTTTCCATGGGACGTGATCATATGCGCTAGGTTGTTAAGTGAGACCATGCAAGTAATTATTACGAACTTCTAAGTAAGGTTTACTTCACCAAAAATATGGGTGTGACATCAAAGCCTGGGTAAAATCTGAAGTTACAATTTAAGAAAGGATTAAGTGGTTTGCAAAGGTTCCTTATTATCAACTTCGATAATCTCAAGAGACCAGGAGTTTTCTCGACCAACTTGCTGTCTCTTGAGCTGTATAAAGCGTTTTCACATGACGTCTCAATGGCGTCCCATCCCAAAACATTGGATTGTGGGAGTTTTCGCATATAAAAAACTTCTTTTGCTCCAAAGACGTTTGCATAGCTGCTGGTCACGTGAGTGACATCCATCTATACAGCTATTTCAATTAACCTTGTGGAAATTAATCTCGTTCCGAGATCTCTTGTTGACGAAACCGCACTAGTGATCTGGATACGAGATTGTGTCGGAATGCCTAAGTGAGGAGACCGCGAGGTAATATGGGAAATTTCAGTAAAAAAAATTATTCTCAAACAAAGCCATGAGGTACAATTCTTCGTAAGTTAAAGGCTAATTTTTTAGGTTTTACATTATTCTATGGCGTTGACAACCATGAGGTTGAGACAAATTTTTATGGGATTTACAGCTACCCTCATGACATTTCGGTCTTGTCGCGTACGTGCCGGCTTGAGGCCTTCAAATCCGACGTTAATTTAAACAACTGTTTGCATGTAAGGAAGTAAGAATAGACCAAGCATGTAAATCACGCTATTCAACAATTTTCCTTTTATTTACCTCAAGAAATTACTACCAGAAATCATAAAAACTCGATTGACCGTTCAGATGCCGTTAAGAGCAGCACACTCAACACCTACAATGAATTGCGAAAAGTGGTAGCCACCAGTTAACCTTTGTTTACACAGAAAGTACATTTGAATTTTTTTTTTGAAAATTTTTGCAAGGTTGTAACCTTTTTTCATTTTAGCCGGTATCATTATTGTTAATGTAATTAGTGTGTTGTGTAGTTAACTGTAGTTTAGCGTAAGCACACCTTAAATAAAAGGTTTATGTGGCTTGGTTTGCGAAATTTCGGTGTTATCTTTAAACATCCATGCTACTATGGCAACTTTAAGAATCCAAAATTACACAGAGCAAACAAAATGTCTTAATATTTTCACGTGCAATTTAGACTTAACACATTTAGCGAGTCTTACATGACATCCCAATGAAGGCAAACCTCCCACAACCTATCAAAACTATGTTCGCTCTTTTTGCAACGTAAACTGAGTATGATAGCAGTGTTCTTGCTTCTTTCTTGACTAATGTACACGACTCAGAAAACAAAAACGCACTGAAAAAAAGTGGACGCGGAAAAACAAAGTTCGAAATCAATAAAAAGTATCTCCCTCGAAATCTATAGTAGAATGCAAATTTCTTTGACATGTCGATCAAAAAAATCGAGAGTTGACAACCAGATAAAGTAATTAATTTCATGGATGGGCATTTGTGTTTATCCGTGATCATTAAAAAGTTACATCTCGGCGGTGAGGGGACTACAAACAATTTGGTCATTTTGCATAAAGCTATAAAGATGCCAAATACTAAAAGCAAATAATAAGAGAAAATGTCTAAATGTATAAATGACGCTGGCGATCAAAGAACTGTAGATAAGCAGGGCGTTGGGGATTTCGGTTTTCTGCTTTTGACCATTTTTCAGGTCGATTAATCAAGTTTTTCTCTGGGATGATTTGAAAATTTTATGTAAACGCTCTTTCAGTTTTGGTGTCTGTTGCAGTTTACGCTGGGCCGTAGTGTTCGGTATTTGGGATTTGGCGTCCGATATCAATGAAGTTTTCAGCGTTCTAATATTTTTTCTGGTTTATTCCTCACTTCTGCCGCGCTGCTACTTCTCTTTTGGCAGTTCGAACGCCGTAGACATCAAATCGGCGTTGTTGGATTAATATTTGAATCCGTGACGAAGGTAATAGCTTCCAATGGTCTTGATCACGTTTCTTTCACAACAGTTAGACAGTTGTATACTAAAAATAAAGAATAATAATTTATACATAACTTCCTTAACTGATAAGGAAATTAAAGTTTTAACTCAAGCTCTTTCTCCCGAATTAAAATTAAACTGATAAATGAAGGTTTCAGCCTTCTCTTCTCGTGAGGGCTTTGCGACACTGTTTTTTTTACAAGTACTGAAACGTGCTTCTCTTGGACTAATCAATATTTGCTAAAAAATCTTGACAAAAGTGGGGATTCGTAGGGAAAAAATTTTGAATTCAATATTCTAGGTGTACGAAGACAAATATTGATATGTACACTATCAGTGATTTTCCTGAATCTCTATCTGGCTCTCTATCTCGGGTTGACGAAGAATATTCGAGTGTGTAAGACGTGATCCCTACAGATTGGGCACAGAAAAACTTGCTTTAACTGTGTAACAGGATTTGGAAGTACAAGATAACCCTGCACTAAAAATTGAAAAGGTAAAAATATCTAAGAGTATTTTAAAGGAGTGTTTTTTTAAAAAAAAAATCTATGTAACTGATATTCATATATATCATCTATGTGATGTTCAAGTTAAACTGCAGTTTCGGTTCGGAAGCTGAATAAACTAAACATGGACTTGTGTTTCCCAATAAGGCGAGCTTTGCACAGGAATAGAAGAAAAGAAAACAAAACTAAGTTTATAAAATTCTACACGTCTGTAAGTAAACAAGACAAAGAATATTACAGAAAGGCAAAGCTTAAACTGCCCCAATCAGAACCGCCATCGACGATAAGCTACGTTAGTGAGTTCACAAAAGCCGTAAGAAAGCTCTCAACTTCTTCTAATGTGAACTAGTATTTTAGACTTTTGAAGAATCCTTAATAGTTACTGTTGACTTCAGCTGGGAGAGATTTGAAGTGATAATTTGACATGTTTGAAAATTCTGTAAAAATGTATGCATATAGGTTTTTCTTTGTTGATGCGGCAGTGCTGAGATCACGCACTTGGTTTATTTTCTTTTCACCTTTGGTGAATTGAAACTTGGAACATTCAAGGGTCTTCAAGACTGGTTGTTTCTAATTGCTAACTTTTTCTCCGGTTTTACACAGGCAATTGCGCAAGAATAACACTTACTTTAGACATGCCTGTTTCAACTGACGTTGTTATAACAACAATCAATTGCGTATTTATCATCACCTGCATTGTTGGCAACTGTTTCCTTTGTGCTGTTGTGATGAAAAATCAGGAAATGAGGTAAAAAAGTAGTGCTAGTTAATCTAAACCTAACTCGCAATGATATAGGGGCGTGATGATGTCGTACATCGCTGAATACTCTGTCGTTGTGCACAATACCTAGGCGAAGCATGGGCCATAAATCGTAGGAGAACAACGAGGTTTTGTCTTCACAGTATCGACCGACTTCACCGAAGCGGATATCACGGGGAACGGGGAACTGGGAGCGGGGAAAGAGAATGGGAAACGGGAAAATGAAAAATGGGAGCAGCGACTTTATCTCCAATTCTCTGCCTTGTTCCCATTTTTTTAATTTCCCGTTCCCCGTGCTCGTTCTTCGATCCCCGTTCCTCGTTTTAGTAACATCCCAAACAGAGGTTAATAAAATTTTATCACTGGGCTTTCTTTCTTTGGAACAAGAAATAGGCCGGTGTTTGACAAAGGTCTTTACAGAGGCTTTGTAGAGAAGCACTTGAAGTAATTAAACGGCAAAAGTGAGGGAAGAGGATAGATCTTGCATTTAAACTTTGGTCCGTGAAGTAAGTCACGAACCTAACATTGATCAACCACAGAAAGAGAAACGACTCAGCCATATAATGAAATAACTTATTACATTGTGTGCTTATTTGGTTAGATAATTTAGACTCATTTTCCATATCTAGTGTCCAATTATCCGGCTCCCCTCGAACCAATCATGTAACGAAATTATCCTTCGACCACCGTTTCCCACAGGACACCCATCAACTATCTACTTGTGAACCTGGCAGCAGCTGATATTTGTTACGCCACATTCATTATACCGACGATTATCTTAAGCCATAATGTTGGCCATCCAGAAGGCGTTACTGGAACAGTTTTGTGTACAATTATTACCGGTGGGAACTTAGCGTGGATTGGCGGACATGCCTCAATGGCTACCTTGCTCGTTATTGCCGTTGAACGATTCTTTGCCGTGATACATCCCCATGGTAATAAAGGAAAACTCACGTTTCGGAGATTGAAGGTTCGTTACTTTGCTTTCAGTCGACTAGTGTCTAATTAAATCGAAGTAAGGTCATCTCAATTATATTCATAACTGAAGCAGTTGTGTTAAGATACACAACTACAGACAATACCTCCTCCCGTATACCAGCTCCGGGTACGCCCTTTGATTGGTCAATTGTGACAGTTCACTTCAACGCTTACGTCAGTCATTGAACTTGGCGCACGGAGGGTCTTACAAACATGTGAAGTATATGAAACCCTCCTACAACGCACTTTTTGAAGGTTTGAAATTTGACATTTTGACATGAGAAACGGTGTTTTAGGACATTGGCTGAGTAGTGTCTGGATAAAGGTGTTTAAAAAGATGCTTAAAGGCCCTCCTTTTCTCTCTTCTCGCCGTTTTTTCACTCGTTGGTTATTTTATTGCTCGCTCTCTTTTCTTGGCTCGTCTGCACTGACCAAGAGCCTGGTACAGCCTACCCTTCAATTAAGTAGGGTCAAAATGTGCGAAACACAATGAAGGTAACTTCAACTTTTTTATGTGAGTTCATAAAGAAATTACAAGAAATATTTTGTACTGGCTAGCAGTTAGCAAGGCAAGTCGAGGAAGGCCAGGCTACATAATTCTCCTGGTCACTGTTGTTTATGAAGTTGCAGAGTTACCGCTCGCAACTCCAAAGTCAGCTAATTCTAAAGCTAATTCAGATTATATCCGTCTTTCTAGGTGATTATTCCTGGTATATGGATCTTTGCAGTTCTATACAGAATCCCTTCCCTGCCACGGAGTTTTGATAAGGAAGTTAGTGCCAACTCCTGCATTTCCGTATTGTCCGAAGAAAACAAAATGATTACTGGTATGACATGGCGTGCATTGAAATTTTTATTCATTGTGGTTCTGGTGGTGCTGTACTCCAGGATCGTGTACGCCTTGTGGTTCAAGCGTGTACGCAGTGATGGCGAACTCACACATCAGCAGCAGGTACGACTACAAGCCTTTCATAGAGTGCTGTGACTAGCTGTCTTCCAAAGCGCGATGTATCAAAAATTAGATAAGAAAATGTTGGCAAACTTCAATCATTCCTAAATTTCCTAAACAACTCAAAAAAAAAAAAAAGAGGAAGAAAAGAAGAGGAAAAAAGTTTCATCTCCAAAACAATCGATACATAAACTTTTTATTGCCTTGATTTTTAGTTTTCCATTGCACCTTTGTAAAAATGCCAGATTATCTCAAACAAAAAAGAAATTTATTTTTGCTTTTTTTAAAAATTTAAATTTGAAATTTAGATTTATATTTGAGGAAGAAAAGTACCGACAGCAAAAACTTTCTTGAGTCTGTTTAGTGATTAGTCTATGAGTTTCACTCAGGCCCGGTTCAGACGCCGAACTTTTCATGAGCCGAACCTAATACATTAAATCAAGTACGTGAAAAGTTCGGCGTCTGAATCAGTTTTAGGAACGCCTGTTACAATTTAGAACGGCTCAGCCGTTTTTTTCGCCTAGCCCGGCCGGCAATTTCGCCTTTAGAACGGCTTTGATTCAGACGCCGAAATTTTCATGTACCGAACCTAATGCATAGAATATTATAACGTATTTTGGAAACAGTTTGACCGAAATGAGCATTTTTCTCCTTTGAACTTAGTTCAGCTGCAATTAAGATCGGCCTCTGAATCAAATCAGCCGGCCTAAATAGTTTGGGTTGCCCATAATTCAAAGTAGGTTAGGCTCATGAAACGTTCGGCGTCTGAACCGGGCCTAAGCGATTGAAGGGCCGTCACTGAGTATTAAACAAGGAAGAAAGGGAACAAATTGTTTTAAAGTTTATAGTTTTAAATTTTTAGTTTTCTATCTAAGAGACACCAAGGGAGATACCAGCTGAGAGTATCACCTAGTCGTATTGTAAGCTTGGGCTACCTGCGGTCTAATGAATCATTTTGTACACAGGGTGTATTGAAGGTGAGAAAGCGTGTGTCCTTGATGGTTGTTACAGTCAGCGCCATGTTTGCAGCTTCTTGGGGAGCAGACGGAATAGTACACAGCATAGACGATGCCGGCTCTTTGAAGCTGAATCCTTTAACAATTCCTATTGTGCATTTAACAGTTACTTTAAACTCTGCCGTCAATCCTTTTGTGTACGCTTTAATAAACCAAAGATTCAGGAGAAAGATGAAGGAAATGATATGCTGCGTTTCACGTTCCTATACAGCAAGAGTACCTCGCACGACGGAGGAGGTACCGCTGGAGGACATGGGGATTGGGAACAACACTGGGACGGAGCCAAACAGAGCCGCAAGTGTAGTGACAAATCTGTAGACCAACTATTTTCGCTGGATAATGCTCGAATGAACTCTATTTCTAGTAGGTAAAAGGAACAAATCTCCAGAGAATCCCATCCTACATTGAGGCACTAAAATAAGCGAGTAAGGTCCATGTTATGAATTCCTATTTTGCCCGAAGCTGGGGAACAACACATATTTGTAATTAAGTTACTACAAGTTCTCTCTCGGAGGCTCCACCCTAAATGCCTACGTTTAAAGAGACTTGAACTATCGAAAGATAGGTCTTAATTCGAGTCGCTATAGCATTAGTTTTTAGGACATTAAGATAAACTAAACTTTATGTTATTGATTGGTCATTGCTTTCTGTCATTTTGCTTTTCATGTGGTGGAAACCATTGTCTTTTCCTATTCATTACTTGTATCACTTAAGTATTAAGGAAAATAAATTGAGAATTCTCTTAGTAGTCTACATTGCTTCATTTCCCCCCCCCTCTGCGTTGTGTATATTTTGATTTTTGGTGATTTGCAATTTACCAAGGCGTTAATCAAATAGACAAGTTTCGTATTCCCCGACAGCCCTGGGACGAGGGATTTTTGGCAGCTTGAAGGCTAATTTGGAGGACTTCTTAGCGAAAACACAAACAAACATCAGTAAATTGCGGCTGAGTCGATGCAAAACGATAAAAATAAGAAAAAAGCTGTAAGTAAGATTTGAAACCTCAAACCTTACTGGTGAGCTAATGAATATCTGTTTCAAACAACAAGACTGTGGAAAGAGCTGGTTGTACTAACAGTAAAATTAAAAAAGCCACGAAGCCAAAAGAAGAAGCGAGAAGTAAACTAGAAAACGGTACTGTAAATGACCTGATAAACACCCCGGGGAGGGGGGGGGGGAGCACTGTCACAAAAATTACAGACGGTTGTATGGATCTTTAACAATGTTTCAAGAGTCATAACGTTAACTTGATCCCTGTTCAACTTTAGAACACCAAACTCGGTCAAATAACCAATCTCAGCATGACCCTTTATATGGTGGAGTCAGTTTATCGATCAGTTTAAAGTTGAAACTCGCCCCTGTTCCCTACGCAACTCCGAAATGGCCAAACAAAAGTCTGAGTTCAACTTTCCGTCAAGTAAAATGTACATGTTTTTGTCATGTTTTGTACTCAGTTGTCAGTGCGAATATCACGAGGAGCCGCAAGAGGTGATATTTTTGCACGGCATCTGGCGGCACATCAAAGAATTTGGAATTGAAGGGCAAATTCCTAGAATATCTTCGCCAGTTAAGCTAGAGAAAAGGTGCTAAAAAACCTCAGGATCCAAAACAACACGTCAATCAAAATATCACTTGGACCTTTTCGCTAATGAAGAGCTATCACGCGGCTAAGCTTGAATTAGACATACATTGAAATAGGAAATCGTGTCAATAAGGTATCTTAAGTGAGTGGGAATCGCTCCTAGTTAAAAAACTGGTTCACAGGGATATGCATCTCTTCTAGTTAAGAGAAGGGAATCAGAACTGCTTTTCATGCAGGAACAGGTTTTCTTGGGGCTAACTACAAAGCTTCAGCTTATTTCACTCCTTGACATTGTCAAAACGCATTTTGTAAAGATAACTTTTTCCGCTTTATCAGCTTTTTTCATATTCTATGCCATTAATGTTTAACCTCCCTCAAAAAGCCAAATAATATAAATGCTGTTGTTAAAAAAAGCGTTTTACCTGTTTTCGTGAATTCGCTACCCAAAGATCACTATGCTCAAAGGACAGGGCAAAATTTCCAGGAGAGAGGCATTAATTTTTTTTCCCACGAGGTTATAAAGAGAAAATGCAATGATTATTATTAATGTAACCATCAGGTATACTCTACCCACGAGGTTACGGACAGCAAATGCAGTGATTATTTTTAATGTAACCATCAGGTATGTTCTACCCACGAGGTTACAAAGAGAAAATTCAATGATTATTATTAACGTAACCTTCAGGTATGTTCTACCCACGAGGTTACAGAGAGCAAATGCAGTGATTATTATTAAATGTAACCGTCAGGTATATTCTAAACACGAGGTTACAAAGGGAAAATGCAAGGATTATTATTAGCGTAACCTTCAGGTATGTTCTACCCACGAGGTTACAGAGAGCAAATGCAGTGATTATTATTAATGTAACCGTCAGGTATATTCTACCCACGAGGTTACAAAGAGAAAATACAATGATTATTATTAACGTAACCTTCAGGTATGTTCTACCCACGAGGTTACAGAGAGCAAATGCAGTGATTATTATTAAATGTAACCGTCAGGTATATTCTACCCACGAGGTTACGGAGAGCAAATGCAGTGATATTATTAATGTAACCATCAGGTATGTTCTACCCACGAGGTTACAAAGAGAAAGTGCAATGATTATTATTAACGTAACCTTCAGGTATGTTCTACCCACGAGGTTACAGAGAGCAAAAGCAGTGATTATTATTTTAAATGTAACCATCAGGTATGTTCTACCCACGAGGTTACAAAGAGAAAATGCAATGATTATTATTAACGTAACCTTCAGGTATGTTCTACCCACGAGGTTACAGAGAGCAAATGCAGTGATTATTATTAATGTAACCATCAGGTATTTTCTACCCACGAGGTTACAGAGAGCATGCAAATGCAGTAACAATTATTAGATTTTAGTGCAACTATCAGGTTGAGTTTCTCCATTAAAAGAGTTTTTTGCTAGGGTTAAACAAGTTTGGCTTTCATGAGTTTCAAGGTGCAAGAAATTATCAGTATAATTATAGCACACGAACATTGTCATCTAATTCTTCGCACGTAGCCGGAATAAGCCAAGGAATGAAGCATATATAACGAAAAATCGTCCTCAGATGATCTCCATATTAAGTAAATGATACTAAACGTTGCGAAAGAAATTATTGTTTGTATCCGTCCTATCCATCGTAAAAGCGAGGGGTCATCGCATGACATCCGGTATATTAAACAGAGGTAATACTCACGGGTTTCACGAGTTGTATGCACTATTTTTCGCCGAGAAACAAATTTAAACTTCAATTCTTACCTTACAGTAGTCCGTTCTTTTACCTTGCATTCGACAACAAATCCGTTAAAGGCGAACAAAGCGATTCCGGCACTCTTCTTTATGATGAGTAGCAAGCCGCAGGAACTGAAGCCGCTTGACTGAAGTAAAATCCACCGATATGCGCGGCATTCTCACTACAAATATAAACAAACGTCGCGGAGAAAAAAAGAAGCGGAGGAAAAAATGCCAGATCTTCGCCTCGGCAATGTATTCCAGCTACCATGCCGGCGTATCTCCAGAAGGAGGACTCGACGTGGGACAAACCCTGTGATCTTTTTTTAGAAGCCCTTTGCGCGCAACCTAATTTATTCTGGCGCGAAATGAAGAATATGTATACTGAAATCTAATCCACGACAAGAAGGTTTTCGCACTGTAGCGCGACATATTAAATGCCTATTTTTACAAGTACGCGGAGAAAGTGGTCCACTAGTTTCACTTTTTTAAGATTAATTTTTACTCCACAAAAGCAAAATGACATGTTTTATCTCTATGTTGTTTACGTGCCTGATTAGAAGGCAGAAGTAAATTCATCATACAGACCCCATCAAAATGAAAGTACACAAATGAAACGGAATAAGTCTGGGACGGTTTAGTGTCTACTCAGCAGCTTCTTTGCTTTTATAACAAAAATTTAATGTTGCAGTCTGTTTTAAACGTTGGCATATCAACGCACACAGTCACTGAATGAAAACAACAGTCACGATCACGTTCTTCGAAACCGACCAGACGCGCGCGACCTACCACTGTTATGGTAAGCAATTATCCTGAAGGTGTTAATGCTCCCGTGACAGTCTTCGCACTGAAGGTGTAAATGGTAAACCGAACGGTCGCTTTGATCATCAGAAAGACCTGTCAACTTTGATGATTTAACTGATTAAATTACGGGACAGAAATTTTACTGCTTGCGGCTCATCGTGTTGATAATTAAGTAATGTATTAAACATAGATTTGTGAATAAATTTTACTTTTCAAGCCATTTTTGTTCAAACGATTTAATCAGAGTAACTTTCTTACAATGAGGATATTCAAATGAGCTTCAAAATGCTCTGTAATTCCCACATGATTCATAATAGAAAAAATTAAAGTCCTCAGCGAGCAGCTGTCAAGACAAGACAAGACAAAACATTTATTACCTTAAAATTACTTACAATTTCTTGGCATGCAGCAAGAGAGAATCTGACTCAAGTTACTTACGAAATGACTCCTGGCCTCAAACCTTTCACAGGTTATTCTCTCTCGCATGCAGTTAGCTTCTAAAACGCTGAGTCGCGGGGCGCCAAATTAATTCAGTAGAAGATAATAATATGTAAAAAGCAAAGAGAAAAGAAAAGGGAGAATATGTGTAATGACGTCAAAAGAAAGAAAAATTAGAGGCGGATTCAGGAATTTTTGATTAGGGGGGTCCAAACTTTGGTTCAGAAAGGACTGTTGAACTTTTTTTGTTGCAAATTACTTCTCAAAGAGACGACCACGTGTTCTCAATCTGTGAACGCCGACCGGTCGCCGTTGGCGCGGGAAATACTGCTTTGCGACCAGAGGCGAACAGATCATAGGAGGGTATCTGTTGTGAATTGTAATAATGTCGTGAGTTGTAATACATGTCGTAAATTGTAATAACAGTCGTCGTAAATTGTAATACCCGTCGTTAACTGTAATAACAGTTGTCGAAAATTGTAATAACCAAGCTATCGTTAAATGTAATAACAGGTTGTTGTAATTTGTAATAAGGCTAGCTGTCGTGAACTGTTGTAATAACGCTTTATCAAATTTTGAAATAATTCCTGTTAAGGGCTTATTCTACTGTAATTCATCAATCAATAATCAATCAAAAACATTTCAGCCATTATTTAGCCAAGACTATGGCAACGACTTAATCATCTGACCGATCACCTGGTGAACTTATTCGAAACAGTCAACCAACCAACATACTGATAAATAGTACAGCACACAAT